TGTTTATAAAACTAAAATAAACTTAAAATTCATTCCTTATCACTATTCCTCTCTCCTATTTCACTCTTTCATTTACCTCTCTCTCTCTCTCTCTATCTTCTATCCCTCTCCCTCTCTCTCTCTCTCGGGAAAATTCAAATATCATATGGGGACAGATGACAAAAGATGTGACACAAAAAAAAAAGCATCTTATTATCATTAAAAACAATCATTTGTTTTTTATCAAAAGAAGAAAAACAAAAAAAATGTAAATATTCCTTATTGTATAAATTTTAAATTTTGAAATTAATTTTTTAAAATTTTAATTAAAATTAAAAAAAAAATTTTTTTTCTAGGTTACGTATCACGAACACGTGTATCAGCTGTTGAAATTTGGCGTAATGATAGTAACAATGATGGTGTAGTACAAATAGCACATGGAATTAATAGTTGGCCAGCATTACTCGAACAACTTAATGGTTAATAAGTATTTTTAATATTAGAATTAATAATAATATTGGAAATGAAAAAAAAAATTGGAAATGAAATAGGAAGAAAAAATGTATGAAAGGAATTTTGATAGTTTTCAATAATTTACAAAAATTTTAATTGAAATATTTATTATACGTAAAAAAAAAAATTTAATTTCAATTTTATCATATTTGTTAGTAGCAAAACTAATTTTTCAATTCAAAATTTTATTTGAATTTCCAAATATTATTATTATTAATTCTAATATTTAATAAAAATTTTTTTTTTCTATTAATTCTAATATTTGATAAAAATTATGTATGAAACAAAAATTTGACTTAAAAATAAATATAAAATTTATTACTATTCAACAAAATGAGTAAACAATTATTGTAAATAAAAATATATTTCTCAAATGGTAAATAAATCATAAAATATTTGTGCAACTAAAATTTAAAAATGAAAAAAAAAAAGAGGAAAAGAATATATTTAATTTGTTTTATGTTTGAATTCAATTGCATTTATTAATAATTAATTTATTAAGTAAATTTTAATAATTTTACTTTTTCATATTTACCAATCATTCATTTAAAAGTTTTTTATTATTTATTTTTCAATTATAATTAGCAAATTGTTGCATTTTATGCAAATTCTTGTCTTTTCGCTTTTTTTTTGCCTCATTTAATTAAAAATTTTAAAATTAAATTTTTCAAAATTAAAAGGAAAATTAATTTTTTTTTAAATTAAAGCGAAAATTTAATTAACTTATTTAATTAAAAATTTTAAAATTAGTACAAAAATTTTTTTTTTCTGAAATATATTTTTATAATTATTGTAAATTAACGAATTTATCATTTTGCTTTTAGCTTTTTGAAAATTTGCTTAATTTGATTAATGATTAAATTAGAAGTTGTGAATTAGCAGTAACATATGGCACATAAAAATTGTAATAAATTAGCTTAATTAATAATATTAGCAAAAATTTTGATTTATTAGCGTGAAATTATTGGATAGGCTAAAAATTCATTTACAATTAAATGTTGCAAATTTGATCGAAATTAAACTAAAAATTTTAAATTGAAAAGTGATGGATAAGATTCATCGCATTTTATAATTTATAATATTACATTTTATATAATTAATCATATTATTTAGCCAATATATTATTTTATTTGCTAATATTCGTTGCTTAATTAATTTTTGAAATGAATATAAGCTAATTTTATGATAGTTTTAGCTTTAGCTTATAAATTTTTTTTCTGCGCAGTAAAATTAAATGAAATCAAAGATTAAAATTTGAAATAATTAATCTAATATTTGTGAAAAAATTTTCAAAAAAAAAAGAAAGACAAAAATTAAGACTAAAAAATTGCTATCCTTAATTTGCTATAATAATATTTTTTAATTTCAAATATTTAATTCAACTAATTCAGAAAAAAAAAAAACAAATTTCTATTTTAAAATTATAAATAATTGTTTAAAAAAATTTGCGAAACAAAAAACGAAAAAATTTTATTCGTTTTTATAAATTTGATTTTATAAAACATTCTTGTAATAAATTTTTAAAATTAAAAGAAAAAAAATAAAAATGAAATAAAATAATACAATTTATTACATTAAATTAATTCAAAATAAATAAATTAACTACAAATAAAGTCTTTTGTTTATCATTTTTACTAACTAAAATTTAAAAAAAAAAGAATTTAAAAAAAAAAATTTTTTTTTTAAAATATTTAAATTTTTTTTTTTTTTTAGGACCAATTTTAGAACGAAGTACAATGATTGAAGGTGATGTATTCATCTATTATCAACGTAAACATCATAATCGAGCGATACCACTAATGAGCGCACCTTTGAAGTTTGCCGATCGAATAACATTTAAAGAATGGCTTCGGGAAGTTGCAAAATTGCGCAAAGGTTTTAAATTTCTTTTTTTTTTTTTTTTTGTTTTTATTTAAAAAAATTTTATGTTTAAATTTATTAATTTCATTTGCTGTTAAAATTTATTTATAACACTAAAAAATGTTTAATTTTGTTTCATAATTGAATTAAATATTTGTTCAAATTTTTTTTGTATTTATATTAATTTTTTTTTTTGTCGAAATTTATTTATAACATTAAAGAATGTTTAATTTTGTTTGTCAATTTTTTTTTTTGAAACTTTTTTAATTTTTTTTTTTGTTTTAATTTTTATAATAAATATTTTTTTTTTAATTTTATAATAATAATTTTAAAATAATTTTTTTCTTTTTAATTTTTTATAATAAATAATTTTAAAAAAAAAATTTTTTTTTTTAAAAATAATTTTTTTGGAACAATTCTTTTGTTCTTTTTTTTGAATAAAAAATAAACAGTTTAAGTGACATTTTTCTTTTTCTTTTTTTTTTAAATAAAAAAAAAATATTTATTAAAAAATTTCAATGCATTTATTAATAGCACAAAAATATCATTTTGATCCGTAATTACAAATCTAAGCCATAAGGTCATCATAATTATTGATCCCATCGATAATTATGATTAATCAATCAATCATTTTCGACTAAAATCGTTGACAATTCTTGCAAAGGTCATTGGATTGCACATTCCACTTTCCATTATTCTAATTACTTAAAACCTAATGAAATTAATTATAAACAAAAGTATTAATTATGATACAATAACATAATTAAACGTAAAAACTCTGAGAAATGCTAAAAATCTAAATGAATTATAATTTGAATTCATATTTAAATCAGTTTAAATGCAACGATAATTATTTAATTAACAAAAATGTTTGCAATAATTTAATATTTATAATTTTCTTTCCATTTTTCTATCAACTCTAATCTCTTATTTAAATTAATTTGTCATATTTGATAATTTGAAAACAAACAAAAAAACAAAAAAAAATTTACACTAAGATATGAAATAATTTTTTCATTTTCTCAAATAATAATTGCCAATATTAGATTAATAAACTTTTTTTTTTTTAATGTATTGATTTTAAAAATGTTTTAATTATTAAATTAATCAAATGTTTTTAAATAATAAATTATTGCACATATTAAAAGAAATTTATTTTTTAATAAAAAGAAAAATGTCGGAAATTTAGCAACAAAAAAAAATAAATAAATAAATAAAATTGTTTACAAAAAAAACTAATAATTAAATAAATATTTTTATCAGTTTTTTTTTTTCAAAAAGCAAAAAAAAAAAAAAAGGAAAGAAAAATGATATCAAAAAGAAAATTATATTTTAGTAATTAAAATTAATGTTCGATCAACAGCAGCAATTCGTCCAGTATTGCAATATTTATTTGCTGCAAGTGGGGACATTTCTTCACCTGTTGTACTACATGCAAATGTCTTCCGATCACCTAGAAGTAAAGAGGTAATTATTATTATTATCATTATCAGACTATATTTTATCACTATCACTATCACTATCATACAGTAAAATTATCATAAGCATTAGAAGATTGCAAAAATTTTACACTTATAATTTTGATTGATAAAAAGTAAGTAATTATGATATGATAAACTTTATTAAATTCATTACTAAAATATAATAATTACAAGAAAAAAAAGAGGAAAACATTATCATATATGAGATATAAAACTTGCACTTATTATAATTTAAATTAAGAAAAATAATCATAGCATAGTTTAATAATACTAATTTATTTCTATTCTTATTTGTTAAATTACCGAAAGCATAAAAATTATTATAAATTTCATTGTGATTTCAAGATTTAAGTACACAAAGAAAGGAAATTACAAATTTAATTTTGAACATTTTTTAATCTAATCATAAATTATGATTAAAGCTTTACATTATTGCAATTACTACTATTACTATTATTTTTTTCGAATGTTATTGTCATCATCATCATCATATTATTATTATCATTGTTATTATTATTATTATTGCCACGCTTTTACAATTATCGCCATTTTCATTATTATTATTATCATTATCATTATTAGTATTAATTATTATTATTGTTGTTATTGTTAAAGTTATTTATTGTTATTATTGTTAATGTTGGTACTATAGTATCAATAATTGCTCATTTATTTATGAATTAATAATTGATAATTGTTTTAGATGCCGGTAGATGCAGTGGAGTTTATTGATAGCGCAAAAGAATATTTTCCGGATGCAACGCTTTCAATTGGTTGGACAAAAAATAATCTATCAGAATTGACAATTCCACAACTGAAGTATGTTATTCTTTTGTAATTCAACATTTATTTAATTAATAAGTCATTAATTTAAAGAATAATTAGTAAAAAAATAGAGATATATTACTTAATAAAGATGATAATTAATAAAAATAGAAAAGTAATGAATTTAAAAGAATAATTAATGAAAATAGAAATATATTAAATTAGAAAAAATAAAATTTACACAATAATTATTTTTATCTAAACTGTTGTAATTCATTTTTTTTTTTGTTTTTTGTTTTAAGTGTCATAATTCATTTCAAAATTTTAATTCCAAATTTAAGTATTGGTTGGCGTGAGCTGCTTCAAGTACTAGCACTTATCAAAGAAATTGAACAACCGCTTATGCTAGCAATCCGACTTAGTACAGTAAGTTATTATTACTATACAATATATCATTACACAGTAAGTTATGCTATACAGTAAGTTATGCTATACGGTAAGTTACTACAGTAATCTATTACGCTATAACTATAAGAATTCAATTTAAGTGCTTTATCTTAAAACGAGAATTTAGTTATTACTGAAACGCAGTATCTAAAAAGTGAGTTTCACTTTAAGTATAGTATCTAAAACAGAAAGCTTGGCTACTATTTAACCATAATACCTAAAAGAAAAGTTTGGCTACTATTTAACCATAATACCTAAAAGAAAAAGTTTGGCTACTATTTAACCATAATACCTAAAAGAAAAAGTTTGGCTACTATTTAACCATAATACCTAAAAGAAAAAGCTTGGCTACTATTTAACCATAATACCTAAAAGAAAAAGTTTGGCTACTATTTAACCATAATACCTAAAAGAAAAAGTTTGGCTACTATTTAACCATAATACCTAAAAGAAAAGCTTGGCTACTATTTAACCATAATACCTAAAAGAAAAAGCTTGGCTACTATTTAACCATAACACCTAAAAGAAAAAGCTTGGCTACTATTTAACCATAATGCCTAAAAGAAAAAGCTTGGCTACCATTTAACCATAATACCTAAAAGAAAAAGCTTGGCTACCATTTAACCATAATACCTAAAAGAAAAAGCTTGGCCATCTCTCAAGCATATTGAATGAAAGTTCAATATTTATTACTTTATTTTAATGTAACATTTAATATTTGCTATTTTCTTAGGCCTAAAACATTTTATACTAATCTAACTTCTGAAATATCGTTAAAGCAAGAAAATCTTAACATTATTCAATCAATTTCCATTGATATTTCGCTTTTTTCCTTTTCATTTATGAATAAAAGTTAAAATTTGATGAGTCATACTGAATTGTTTTAAATTGAATTAACTAATTAATTGATAATTAATTAATTATTGAATAAAAAATACTCAACGAAATCATTCTTACTTAGATATCTCTAAAGTATATAAAAAACTAACTGTTACTTTAATTACTCATTTAGAAATTATTATTTTGTTTTTTCTATTTTATAAAACATTTAATAAAAGCAAATCATTGCTTTCTTTTAATTCATTTTCAGGCTGCTTATTCCAGTAAACAAATTGAATTTATTTTGGGCATACGTTCCACAATTTCAATATTAATTTGGAGTGATGAAATGGATTTAATAAATGATTGGTTTGAAATAATTAATCTTCGATCAGGCGTATATTCTAAACGTTTAGTATTTGATTTAAATGATAAACATCGAAATGTATTGAAAATGCTTCCATATTCCATTGTTATGGTTAGTATAATTTTTTTAGTTTAATTAAATTAATGCAAAAATTAATAAAAAAATTTTTTTTTTTTAGTAATATAAATTTGCTCATTGATAATTTAATTTTTTATTATTATTATTATTATTATTATTATTATTATTATTATTAATATCATTACAGAGTTGTTATTTAATAATGATTTTATATTAATTTATTTAATAATATTTGTTTCATTATTATTATCATGGAATTGTTATTTAATAATGATTTCATATTAACTTATTTAATAATAATTATTTAATAACAAATTTTTTTAATGAATGTCATATCATTAATTTACTTATCAAATTTATTCGTACATTTTTGTACTTATTTTTCATTAAAATTTCTTTACATAATAATAATAATAATAATAAATGATTAAATTAGAAAATTATTTAATTTGATAAATAATGCATAATAACATTATTATTATTATTATTATTATTATTATTATTATTATTATTATTATTATTCAATAAATACTACAAATTATTAATTTATTAATTTTGAGAAACGGAAAAGCGAAATAAAAAAATTAAAAAAAATTTTTTTTTTTTTTAAATCTTTTTTTTGTTCAGAGTGAAACAAAATTTAATCGAAATCATTGGAATTTGATAGAATTTCCATCCGTTTCTATTGAATCATCTGGTGCTGTAATAAGTGACGAAGGTATTGCATTTATCGGTTGGCCAACGGCATTCCTGATCTCACTGACACAGCCATCAGTATTTCCGGATAATCAACGGATCACTGCTAAGGTTATCCTTTTTTTGTTTTTCTTTTTTTTTTTTTAACTTTATCTCAATTTAATCAATTTAAATTTCAAAATTAGATTTGTTTTTGCTAGATGTAGCTAATTTTAAATTAAAATAAATATTTAATTTTTTTTTTCCGATTAGATTTTATATTCAATTTTTGTTAAATTTCAAATTTAGATTTGTTTATGCTAAATGTGACTAATTTATAAATTAAAATATTTGTTTAATTTTTTTCTTCCTATTCAATTTTTGTCAATATTTAATAGAATTTAGTTTTATAATTTGATATATTAAATTTATGTAATTATTGACAAAGCAATAAATTCATAATACGTTAATTGCATACTTTTAATTTTTAAAATATTTTAATTTTTGTAATAATTGATATTTTATTAATACTTATTTTGTAACTAATATATCATAATTCATTTGCTTATTTTTCTAAAACATTTTTTTGACAAATTTTTCCACCATTTAAAGTATTTAGATTTAAAATTAAAATTTTAAACTTTTAGAATATTTTAAATTAAAGTAATTTGCATTACATTTTTTTTCTTTCATACAATTGATTAGTTTAAGAGAAAAAAAAAGATTTTTTTTTATTTTTTTTTTTACTTAAATCTTAAATCAAACTCGAATTTAATTAATCAATTATTTTAATATAAAATGCAAAATTTTCAGCTAATATTTGTAAAAAAGAAACAAAATATCAATGATAATTGGTTAAAGCATAGTGGCTTTGTAATATATCTGTTAGAGAAAGTGCTCGATTTACAATCACCTGAAATTACCACCGGTATAAAGGTAAAATTAATATTTATTACCTTTATTGTTTGCTAACTTTTCGAATTATTCTTTTTTCGAATTAATTTTTTTAATTTTTAAAAAATTTAATATCAAAATTTTCAGATATTTATTGGTTACAATGGTCGTTTATCAATAATTAATTGTTTTCATTAAAATTGATGCAAAAAAAAAAAGTTATAAAAATATTTGTTACTTATAAAAAAATTATAAAACAAATTATTATTATAAAAAATATAGAAATAAAAAAATATATAATTGTAAAACAAAAAAAAACAAAACAAGAATGTTGATAACAATGAGACGAAAATGATAAAATTATTTTAACGAAATTTAATTTTCAAAAAAAAAAAAATAAAAATTTTAAATATTTAAGAAAATTCCTAACATTTTTTTTTCCTTTTTTATATCAATTATTTTATTTGGTAAAAATTTTTTCTTCCTTTTTCCTAGTTTTTTGAAATTTAAATTTAAAAATTTTGATTTAGTTATAAAATTGATTGCTATACCAATATTTTATATGTTAATAATGTAAAATTAGTTTTATTAAGCATAATTATTAATTTAAGTAATTTAATTTTTTTAATTTTTAAAAAATTTAATAACAAAATTTTCAGATTTTTATTGGTTACAATGGTCGTTTATCAATTGAAAATCGAGGAAAGCGACACAATTACTATAATATGAAAGCAGCAGGACAAGTGCGCCACGATCAAAGTTGCTATGATATTGAACTTTTGGATAGGTATTTTTTTTTTTTTTTAATTGCTTTTATTAAAATTAATTTTAAAATTGAATTGGTTGTTATTATTCAATGTTTTTAATTGAATTAATTTTTTTAGAGGTTGGCAAGTTGAGCTTACTGTTGGTGGAAATGATTGTAAAGATGAAAAAATGATAAATCCAACAAAAATTACTTTAGAAACATCATTAACAAAGTAAGAGTTAAATTTTTAAAAAATTTTTTTTCAGAAAAAAAAAAGAGGAAAATCATTTTTTTGATAATTTTTGAATTGCAAAAAAAAAAAATTTTAGAATTTAAAATTTTGACATTTTTGAATTGAATTTTACATTTTTGTTTTTCCAAGGTTTGCGCCAAAATTTTTATCATGTAGTGTAATTTTCAGGACACGTCAATTACGTAACGTAATTGTTTCAAAAATAGGTGATGGAAATTTAGATTTGATTATACGTGACCTGAAACATTCCTTCTCAAATCGACCTCAAATTAATTTATTCTGCTTATTTGTTATATTCAATATTGTTAGGATTTTCTCATAATTTTGAATATTTCCCTATGCTTATCTGTTATTTATTTATTTTCTTAATTACAAATAAAAATTGCAAAAACAAAACAAAAAAAAAGAAAACGAAACAAAACGAAAGAAAATGAAAAATAATTTTTAAATGTATTAAAATAAATAAAAAGTGGAACCTTCAGTTTCCTTTTTTCCTATTTTTTATTCTTTTTTTTTGTTCATCCAATTAGGAAATTAAAATTTTTCATTTTAGCTTATTTCAGTGAAAAAAAAAAAAAAGGAAAGAAATTTCATTTGATGAAAATATTTCAATAAACAAACAAACAAACAAACTTATAATTTACAACCAAATAATATTTATGAAAATTTTTGAAATTTTTTTTTTTAATTGTTCATATTTATTTTTTTAATTTGTTCATTTTTTCAATTTTATTTATTTTTTTTTCCAATCATTTTCGGTGATAATTCTTTATTTTCATTCTTTTTTATTTGAATATTATGTATGTATTTTGTTAATGTTATCTAATTATAATTTTAAAAAAAAAATTTAATTACTGAATTATAATTTTAAAATTACAAAAAACAATTTTGCATGTTTTTCATTGTTTTTTTTTGCATTTCGCATAGAATGTTATTAATGTAGCATAAATAATATATATGTATTTATGTTAGACATTTTAAATTTAACATTTTCATTTTTTTTTTTTACATTTCAAAAATAATAACTTTTACTTATTCATTACAAATAAAGTAAAAAAAAATTATATTAGTTAATTAATTAATTAATTAATTCTAAATGCTAACAATTCAGCAAAAAAAATAAATTATTAATTTAAAATGAAATTTTAAATTTGCTTTTAGATCAATTAACATTTATTGCTATAATAGCTCTAAACAATTTATACTAACAGATGGTAAATGGAAATGTGACAAGAAAAGATTAAAGCTAAATAATCAATTAGCCAAGTAAAAATTATTTATGTCACATCAGATCAATTATTTGACAATAATTAGTAAAGTAAAGTGTTTTTTAATTGTCACATAATTGTATATATAAAATAAACGAATTAAATTATTTGAAGTATATCGTTATCAACTTCAAAATCATAATTTAATTTTTAACACTAACAAATGAATTAATGTTTTTAAATGTCGTTTCTTTTTTTTTTTTCATTTTGGATGCAATTAATAGAAATTATTTAAATGATAAAAGGAAAAAAGATAATATTAAAAATAAATTTGCATACTTTAAAAGAAAAAAAAAAATCTAATGTGATCTAATTTTCTTTGCTCTTTTTTGCGCAAAAAAAAAATAAGGGAAAATGAAAGAAAATTTTTGATAATAAATCAAAAATTGATAAATATTTATTCAAATATTCATTAAATAACAAATGAAAATTAAATAGTATTGTTAATAATAAAATATCTACAATTGTAATTTTACTTTAAAAAATTTTTTTAAAAATAATTTTACTTAAAAAAAAAATATGATGGAAATACAAATTGTAATATGTATGGAAATATTTTCTTATTAAAATATTTGATTAGTTCAATTTGAATCAAATATGATACATTTTTTTTTTTGATTTCATTAAATGCTTCTTATCAAAAAAAAAAAAATTTAAATATATATCATATTATGATAAATTTGCCAAACCATTGACAATTAAATTATGTTTAATTCATATTTTTAAAAAATTTTATTTTTTTTTAACAATTAAAAATAAAAAAAAAAAAGTCAAATGAACAAAATTAGTTTGATAAGTTATGCATTTTTTTTTTCAAACAAAAAAATATCAAATTGAAAAAAACAAAAAATTTCAAAGAACAAAATAAAGAGAAAAAAAATTTTTTTTTTTATCTAACTATCATTGTTCACAAAAAAGCAATTTTTGATCAAAAAAAAGACATTTTTTTAAAAAATGTCACGTTATTTGAGTAAAAGATTTATCAAATTATATATAAGCAGAAAATAATATAAAGCAAAATGTCACCAAAATAAAACGACAAAGTAAGCGTAGGTAAGTTAGTTTGAATAAATGAAAAGAATTTATTTAGTAATGAATGATTGGTTGGTCGGTCATTTTTGTCATACTTAACAGCATTTTCGAGAATGAATTAACTTGTGGTGGGGGGGTCTTTTTTTAATTTTTATCTAATAAATATAGGAAAAAATTGTTAATAAATTTGAGCTAGCTTATTTTTTGTAATTTAGAATTTTTCGCACACTTTTTTTTAAAGCTATAATTTAATATTTTTTATTTTTAATTTAGTTTAAAGTTTAAAAAAAAAAAAAACTTTTTTTTGATTCCAAATATTATGATAATTTCAGTTATGTGTTGTAAGCTTATTCCTTCGTTTTGCATGCTTCTATCGGTAGCAAATGCAATGTACTACGGAGGAGGTTATGGACAGCAACCAGGTGCACCACGAATACCTGCACCAACTATGCAACCACAAATCCATGGCTTGCAACCCAGGCAACCGCTAAGTAATTAATTATGAATTATATAGCATGTGGCAATCATTTTTGTTTCTTGCAAATTTCCTCGTATTACTCAGTAGCTAAATTTGATCAAGATTTAAACGATGAATTTAAATTTAAATGAATATCAACGAATAATTTCATATTTCAGCTGCTGGTCAACCATGTAGTGGTTGTGTAGTAAATATAAATTGTGGTCAAGACTGCATGCCGACGGTACCACCATACACACAGCAACCAATGCCACCATATACACAGCAACCAATACCACCATATACACAGCAACCAATGCCACCATATACACAGCAACCAATACCACCATACACGCAACAACCAATGCCACCATATACACAACCATATTGGACATTACCACCTACACAAAGACCAGCATGGACAATTGGGCCACCGTTTACTCAAAAACCAAAACAACCTTCACCATGGGGTTGTCGTTTGTGTCCATGTTACATACCTCCTCCATGTCAGATATGTCAACCATGTCAATGAGAACTATGAGCACTTCATTCAACCATAGCTAAAACAAAAAAAAAAAAAAAAAACAATTTTCTATTTCATTATTATTCCTCAGTAAAAGACTTAGTAAATTTCTTGCAAACATATAGCAAAAGACAGTTTTAATAAAATAAATTTGTGAGATTGAAAACTCAATTTCATTACGATCAATGTTTTGGTCTGAAGTCAGCAAAGATAATTGGAAACAAATTTTGCTCATAAAGTATAATATTAGATTTATCTTAGATTATTAAACTATCCTAGAAATGGCGCAAAAGTTTCATCAAAAGAAGCGCCATTGTGAAATTCTTATTATACAGTTTCTGTGCATTAATTATTTTCTGTGGAAAAATTGAAAGTTCGAATTGTGAATAAAATTCATTAAACCATTTTGATTGAAATACAACAGTAATCACATCTAACTTAATTTTTTCAGCTTCTTTACAAACAGTTTTTGCTATTTATAAGATTTGACATTAAAAAGATTTCTTTATTTCTCATCAACTCCAGAGATTTAGTAAATAGAGTTCTTAACAATTAATTTAAATCGTAAACTGAAACTTAGTCTGAACTATTAATACGTATCCAAATCATTTGCTCTCTATTTGCTTCAAGTTTCCTTTTTTTTTTTTTTCTGAACTTCAGTCATTTGAAAAATTGAAACTAAAACATAAATGTCCCTCGTTCAGAGGTGAAAACCAACGTTTAGAGTACAGTTCACATTCCTTTCCTTAAAAAAAACAAAGAGAAAGAAAAGTATAAAACATTCTTCTAAAGGTTATTAAATGAAAAATGTTGCAAAGATATTTGTTTTATTTCAAATCAAGCGGAAGTTCAAATCGAACATTTGTGGAACATAAACGTAAGCTCAGTTGAAACGTAAACTCATCAAGTCTGAAGCAAACAAGCGTGGTTAACTCTATCACGTCTATATACCACGATTCAAAGCATACCGGATTTCAACCGAAACACTCTGCATTCTTCCTGATTTCCGGACTTAATCCATTAAATTGACTTAAATTCACTCACACTATTAGAAAATAATGCTTTGCTACATACTTTCTCAGCTTTACAATTTTAAATTGTTATCAGCTGTTGTACTTTCATCCCATTACTGATACCAAATAAACTATTACGTAGAGACAATCGGATATTGGTGAACAAGTGTGCCAATAACGTGAAATATTTCCCACCTAATAAGCAACTATTATTATACGTGAAAAGTTTGCTACTTTTAAACGTCGTAAAAATTATACTATTTTAAAGAAGCAAATAGTCTTCCACTCTACAAAATATACATTCTTCTCTAAGCACAGTTAATCAAACAACAGTTCTGTGCAGTTCGGACTTTAACATTAATAATTTTTTGTTAGAAGTCGAACAACGGATTAACAAATTGCGAAGACTAATAATGAATGTTTTTAATGATGTGTCACCTTATTGATGTTCTGGTAGTAAATAAATGAAAAGACAGTCAATCTTTCCTAACCGTCAAAATATCTATGTAAAACTCACTGCAACCAAAATAACAAAACAAAATTTTGGAAACAGAGAAGTAAGCAACAAAAACAAAAAAATGAATTAAGTGTGCTATGTCATACATACAACAATATAACAGTTTAATTTTTTGCAAAATAAGTGTGGTTGATAGCATAATGAAATAAACAAGATCCGATAAATTTGAAACT